TCAATTTTAGGACTATTTTGTACCATTAGATTAAGTTGGGGAAATAGGGGCAGACTTTGTTCCTTATTACGTTGGTATTTGTGATTCTATCACTCTCCCTATTAGGTTTCAGTTTAGCTTTGCTTACAATTTGTACAATTCCTTCTTATGTTTTCTCCTCCTATTATGCTAATGATATGGAATTAGACCCTTTATATAGTTATTTATGTTTAGATTTCCTGAATCAAAGTGGAAACATAGTTTCTGGCTCTTGAGATCCATGCTCAATGTCTTTAAAAAAAAAAAAAAAAAGAGTTAGTGTATATCAGTTCCAACACTCTTTGAGTGTGTAAATTTCTTTGCAGTATCCATGAAAAGATTAAGATATCATGACATGGAACTCCTATGGGACACTTAAGATTAATCATAAGTATTCGATGTTTCTATTCCCAGTAGTTGCTTTTCATTAAAGAGCTGAAACAGGGAATTTATTTTGTCTGATCACACTGGAAGTGCAAACGAGAGAGATTTTTTTTTTCTATTTCTTTGGTGGATGAATCTCATTCATCAATATTTCATAAATAGGATCTCATCAATCAGTTATTCTATGTTTTTAAAATGTGACCCTTATATCTAAAGATGGTGAATAACTTGCCCAAATTCACAGACATATTTATAGATGTGGGACCAAAGAGCTATGGGTCTGATAAGTAAAAATCTGCTCTTTAGGCGAAGCCTGCCTCAAACTAACACATCCTTTTTTTAGCCTCCCGAAGCCCACACGTAACAGGTTTGAGTGTTTGAGGGAGCCATTGCTCCCAACGTAACTTTTTTGGGGGGGGGGGGGAAACACACTATTGACCCCCCAAAATATCCCCTATCACTCCTCACTGCAAATGTCACTATGTATTCATCCATTCACTCAACAAGTATGTATTTTTTAGATTAAAAATGCTGACCATAATACCGGGCACATTTTTATTCACTAATGCCTTTAATTATATTTTATTGCAGCTATGTGATTATCATCTGTAATATTATATCAAATTGTAAGCCTGTAGTTGAACCTGTTAGTGCTCCTTGAAGCTACCATCCAAACGGTCAGTATTTTGAGTAGGACTTTCACATTTACAGCCGTCCTCTTTCTTTTTTTTTTTTTTTTAATTTTTTTTCAACATTTATTTATTTTTGGGACAGAGAGAGACAGAGCATGAACAGGGGAGGGGCAGAGAGAGAGGGAGACACAGAATTGGAAACAGGCTCCAGGCTCTGAGCCATCAGCCCAGAGCCCGACGCGGGGCTCGAACTCACGGAGCGCGAGATCGTGACCTGGCTGAAGTCGGACGCTTAACCGACTGCGCCACCCAGGCGCCCCAGCCGTCCTCTTTCTAACGAATGCTGCTCTCCACCTCTGTTGCCTACTTAGAGAATGACGTTGCAGTATTTCTTGGTTACTCAACAATACAAAAATTAGCCTTGTTTACCACGATGTCCTCACCTTAAGTATTGACTTCAAAGCCCAATGACCCTTTATGAGTTAATATAGCTTCAGACCTACCTAATCCTCCTCGTTGTGTCTCTACCAGATTAGTTATAAAACTCTCATGATTCTAAGAATATTATTATGAACTTAGCTGACTCACCCATGTCCATTCTTGATGTTCTGAATTTCATTTGCAGATCGTAGACAGAAAAGTTTCTGCGTCACAATTTTAACCAAATTATTCCCCTGTATCTTACATTGGGTCTTCTAGAAAATAGGGCTGGAGACAAACTTCCTTGGTAAGCTAAGGCTTACTATCTACCCGCTGGTGGGTAAAGTTGTTTGCATAATCAGAAAGTCAGAAAGCAGGAATGTAGACAAGATCAGATGTGTCTACGTCACTGAAACTTTCTGCATTATCTTTAAAAATTTCCTAAAATATATGATGTTGAATATCTACCAGTGGAAAGAAAGGAAAAACTGTCTCTGCCTTGAGCCCACATTCTGTTCAGTCTCTGTCAGGTTCCACGGCTTTCCCTCTCAGAACATAGACAAAAGTACTTTCTGGTGCTCTGGATAATGGGGGGAAAAAAAGTTCTACCTACCTAGTGTTGTTCCACCACACAAATGTGGGAGCCTGTCGTCTTCTTAAGCTTATGTGTCTTGTATGTCTATCAAAGACTGTGCCAACATGTAGGGGAGAGAAATCTATGCTCAGATCTCTGTGTTTCCTCATTTGCTATATTTCCACACCTAGAACTCTAGATAAGCAGTTTTGATGTACATCGATAAAATCGATATAAATCATGTTTTGTTGCTCAAAATTAGAAGCATTATCACCGTGGGGTGCCTGGTCAATTAAGTGTCTGACTTTGGCTCTGGTCATGATCTCACAGTTCATGGGTTTGAGCCCCATGTTGGGCTCTGTGCTGACAGCTCAGAGCCTGGAGCCTGCTTCAGATTCTGTGTCTCCCTCTCTCTCCTTCCCTCCCCTCCTCGTGTTCTGTCTCTCTCTCAAAAATAAATAATTTTTTTTACAAGCATTAGCACCGTAATCCTCAATACCAATTTATAGGTTTTTTTTTGCGCTCACTTTCTTCGCATTTCTTTCCATTAATCTGACAAAGACTATATTTGTTCTTTTAACTTACTAAATAAAATTCTTTCCTTTGGAGCAATTTCTAGGAAATTCGTATTTTCAACAAACTTTTCTTGGTCTTTGTGTTAGCACCTTATTAACTCTAACTTCACTAAAATAAAATAAACATAAACATGAGCAAAAACAAAAAATAATTATATTTCCAATGACACTTAAATTTATATCTAGCTAGCTATATCTATCTATCTATCTATCTATCTACCTATCTATCTACCTATCTATCATCTATTTCAATGGCCAGGCTCAAGTATACCAAGCAAAGTATTAATATATAACTGTATTACAGTAACATTACAGTAAAAATCAATAAAAATTATTAAACTTTCTTCAGCTTGACCAAGGGAAAAAGAGAGAAGACAAAAAATATCAATGTAAGGAATAAAAGAAGGGACATCACTGCAGAATCCAGAGATATTCAAAGGATAATAAAGAAATACTGTGAATAAATTTAGGAAGTAAATTTGACATCTTGAAGGAAATGGAATAATTACTTGAAAGACACAAATTATGAACATTGACTCAGTAATCGATGATTTCCTTAGTTTAATATCTATTAAACAATTGAGTGTATAGACAAAAACCATTACAACAACAACAATAACAAAACCAACTCCATCATATATCGCTAATTCTACCAAATATTTAAGGGAAAAAAAGTTGGACGTAATCCCTTCTATGTTACGAGGTCAACATTGCTTCAATACCATAACAAGACAAAGATATAAGAACTATGTGGCAATAACTCTCAACATAGGTCCAGAAATCCACAGCAAAATGTTATCACATCAAATCCAAAAGTATATCAAAAGATACCACACCACAGCCAACAGGGTTTATTTCAGGAAGGCAACAGGGGTTTAACAAAAAAATCAATGCGTACAATTCATCATATTAACAGAATAAATACAAAAACCCACATGATCTTCTCAATATACAGGAAACGTGTCTGATGAAATTTATTCATGATAAAGAAAAAACTCTCAAAAAACTAGGAAAATATGTGGATTCCCATTATCTGGAAAAAGTCATATACAAAAACCTACAGTTACAACATACCCAGCAGTGAGATCCTGACTACTTATTCCCCAATACTAGTGTATATGTGCTCACCACTCCTGTTCATCATCTACTGGAAGTCATAGCCAGGGTCATATGGCAAGAAAAGAAAGACCTAAAGTTCGGAAAGTAAGAAATGTAAATGTCCCTATTGAAGACATCGTTGTTTATGTAGAAAATCCTACAGAATCTTTTAAAAAATCTAGAACTAGTAAATGAGTATAGCAGACTTTCCTTTCTGTGAAAAAGCATTAAAAGAAGAGATAAGGTTTGCTGTGGATGTTTTTTCTACATTTCTTTTGTTTGTTTCCATAGACTTAGCCTAGTGTTTAAGACAGTGTTAAGTGCCAGTAATATATTGTAGTTGACGAAATGCTATCAGACTGTGGCAACAGCTACGCCAGAATCACACAGTGAGTTGCCAGTTTCTGATCTTATTATAGGCGGTACAGGCAGAATTGCATTAAGCCATCTGCTAGCACTTCCTTAAATTGTGATTAGCCATATATTAAGAGAGGCCACATGTGTCTTTTGACTATAGATTACAAACTGATAGTGTTCCAGGCCTTTCCAAAAAGTCGAAATGTGATGATCACTATTCCCTTGCCACACAGTGTGTGGGTTACTTCAGGCTGAGTCAGGATCCACGACGCAAAGGAGAATAAGGACCTGCAGGGGCTCAATCACTGAAAAAGCAGAACCTGTGTGCAGAAAGTGTGTGTATTTCCCTATTTTCAAACATCAGTCACACTTTACTCATTGGGTTGCTTTTACAGGACCCTGAATTGAAAAGGCCATCACTGACTTCATGATGTATAATCGGAATGGGACAGAGAACACCAAAATGGAAAATAAAGGAAAATTATGGCTACTTCAAGGTTAAAGGATAAAAGCAGGGTTTATTTTAATTCATTTATGTCATAGAAAATTGTACATTTTAGGGAAAGTGTCAGGAAGCACATGATCTACCTAGCTGGCCTAGTGCACAGCTCCCAGTATAGCATTAGCATTATAGTCCAAAGTGAAGGGCTTCTCAGAAATTGTGGGGATCAGCTGTTCTGACACACATCCTCCAAGGCCAGACCAGAATCCCCAAATACCTACAACCTTTCTGGTGTGTTCCTTTTCTTCCTACCGCCAACGGTATGAGACGATGCCAGTGCCAAGGGATCACATACTTCATTGATCATGTCCAAATGGAATCATAATTGAGGATAGAGTAGGGGGTCCCAGCAGAGTCAACATCAGCAAATCTATGACCTTGGATCCCCGCCCCCCAGACACTTAAGGCTCTATTTACTACCTGATTACTGATTTACTTTATTTACTTTTAATGATACAATTAGAGGAAGTCCAGGAATGGTTCAAAAGTTGGTATCTCCAACAACTAAGCATGTTGGAAAGCCACGTCATCATAATAATGATAAAGAGAGGCTACGGCAACTCCACAGTCATTGGAGGATAAGTCGACAACCACCTGTGGAGGAAAAAACAACAACACAGTAGATGGCATTTCATGATATGATATGACATTTCACTTGCCCCTGGTCCTAGTTCTCCTAACGTGCAGACCTTCTTTGGGGCCACTCTTTTTGACATGAACGTCTACGTCCAGCCAAGCAACCTTCCACTAATGCCCGGTCCAATCTTCCTCTTCTTCTTTTTTTTTT